TACAAAGGGCCTTGACCCAAGGTGTTGAAAGTTGTGCAGCAGTTCTGACACATGGCGGTGAACGCACTTAAAACGTGGTGCAAATGGCGTAAGAAAGTACCCTCACAGCTGCGCATAAAGGTGTTCCAAATCATGCCCGAAATCAAGGTGAGAAAAAATTCATCAGCATCTAGAAATGACTCCAGCAAGTCTTACTTTCTAAACAGACCACTGCGAAGCACAAGCGTCTGTTGTAGGGACAGCGACTTTTCCAGTACTTACCAAAACAAGAAAGTCATCCTACGAGTATCCTAATAGCCAATATGAAGGAGCTCAAAGTTCATTCTCTGTACTTCGAAAACAGTGATCAGTTGCCGACTTCACGAGAATCGGCATATCTCGCACCCACAATATGCTTCTGATTTTAGATGCACTCTCCTGTATTTCTACTGATGAGCAGGCCCTCCACGACAAAATATCCATGCTTCGATCTCCTTAAACCTTGATATCTATGGGCCTGATAACGATAACTGAGATATAGCTAAACAATGAAATCGCATAAATGGAGGTCGCTCTCCCAGGTATGTCCACTCTACGTAAATATCTACCTAGGATGGAAAGTTACTTATTTTGTACGATTGCAATGACGTAAATCACCAAGTATTTGACGAGCTATGGATTTAAGTTATGGACTCACTTTTGTGCCGCCTGCCCCTAAGACGCAGTGACACATGTTTGTTTGCCGCCGTATACCGTCCCCCCATGTCGACACGGAAAATGGACAACCGTCTAGCTTTCGTACTGAAAACCATTCTGGTTCAGCTTAACACTCAAGTTCTCCTTGTGGTAGAGTTGCACGTTCTATGAGTTCCGGCCTCTCTTGGTGAGCAGGTTAAGGCCGAACTGTATGAATTATTCGCCGGCCTACCAATTCATAATCATGTATCTTCCCCTAAGAGATTCTGAATGTGAAACAAACCGGTCATTTTAGAGCCCGTCATTACCAAAGTGGAACATATGTTTGTGAGTAACGGTGAGTCGCCTCTTCGGGTGCAATAATCATGTAACCCGGTCTTTCCACTACCTTTGTTAGGCAGTACAGTCTAACAGGGACATCTAAAAGTTCCTTAAAGTAACATATCACAACCTTTTATCCGACCCACATGAGGGAGTTCATTAACAAGTTTAGCACTCTAGTGACAAACGCATCGGAGAAAAAGATCCTTAGTTCAACAGAGGCAATCAACGGATGATCCTGATTCCTTTAGGGAAGCATGTAAAGCCATTTCAAAGGCCGAAGACTGGAATGCCCGCATAACTGATCGCAACCATTATGTCAAAACTTGTCCGCGTATGTCAACCATGGAAAGCTTTCCTAGAATGGGTTGTTTTTACAACTACACTAGCCGTATTTAAATGTCGCTTGAAGGATGCACTCGGTCACTTACATTTTCTTACTTAGCATTCCTTCTCCGTCCTATTCCCGAGGAAAACGTTGGGTTTATTACTTGTCATGTATTGGAGTTGTGAAACTAGGCCGAGTGCAGGACTACACCCTTACAAACAACAAAGCATTTCCTTTGACAATAAAGTACTAACTGACTTTCCTAATCAACGTTTCTTCAGAAAAAGAAAAACAGATCACCCAACTAGGCTTGTAAAGCGGTGGTTATAACCCGTATAAATTCATTGTTCATTGTCCTTGAAACACGAGCGGGACTTAGCAAATATCTTCTGTTATCCTAGGCTACTTCATAAGCAAATCAACAAATCCTATAAAGTACGGCGAGACATCCCTACTCTGAATACCGTCTGTGGTCAAGCGCTAACTACCCAAGAAGCAGCCAACGTTCCTAGATATCAAATCGCTTCTATTACGGCCTAGTCTCTCAGACCGTCTCCACTCGATATCAGTTGGCTAATCTGCGCGCGGGGTTCTATCGGTAAAAATCGTTCTGTCCGTTCTAATGTTTTTACAACAATACCAACGGCTTACGCAGGTGGTCGAGGTGAACTGATGTGGCTGAGCAAAACGCTTTGTATGCTAGGCCAACATATGCAGATAAAATGGTTGATTATATAAAGTGGAGAGAGCTTCTATTGATGAAACGACACAGTTCATTCCTATCGTCTCCACGCTCAGTGAGTTGCGCGTCTCGTAGCCGTACTGCGAAAGATCCAATGGTGTCTTGCATTTGCTATGCATACTTGATGCCACTACTTTAGAGAGTCGTCCCTGTTAACGAACACGATAGAATTGGCGGCGATGAAAAGTGACGCTGAATGATGTTTGTGGTGGCGTGCCCACAAGTTTTCATAGTTTATTGAGTGCCATGTGGTGGTTGCGTAGCAGCAAAACGTAGGTACAGCGTACCGGCGTACTGCTAATGCCCTCCTTATTGCTACGAGCTTGATCACGGAAGTACACAGCTAACCAACCGAATAGAACGCAGCCGGAATCAGATCAAATATATTTTTCGCGTTTAACCGAAATTACTAATTGCAGTTCGAGTTTTTATCATAACATCCGCTGAAATGCAGCGAAACATGATGTTTACAGATGAATCATGATAGCTTGGGTGCAACTCCTCCTGCAGACACCGTTAATTCATGTTGCTTATCATCGTCTAGAGTGCTTATCAGGAATCTAAGAATACACTGTCATCAAGCGATTTCAAGACCAAATCTGTGACGTTCACATGATAAAAAACGCACGAAAAGCACAACCGAAGGTAACGCGCAGTCCACGAAATTTGAACGGTTCTACATTTTTTACGGTTCAGTGCCTTGTTTAAAAAGTGCAACGGAATAGGTTTTTTATCGCTCCAGTGACACAGGACAAGCGCAAACATTTGACTGCAACAATCGGGTACGCACACCAGTCGTGTCGAAGTGATATATGCTACTTGCTGTTCCAAATAACCCGAGGAACGTTACCTGTAGGAATAATGAGTCTGTAATTGCGATAACTGATCACAAAACCCTCCCACTGATTCGATCGCAGTTTAAAGTTAGGAGGCAAATTCAGACACACGTTACTAAATTCCAGCCCAGAAATGTTACCTTTGTTCTTATTCGCAAGTATATGGTGTTCTCACTGCAGATGTGGATGCTTAAAAGTTCCCAGTCTCTAGCATCCTTCAAGCTGGAGCGACCTGGAGTTGTCTCCGATGTATTGAGGCTCTTTCAGCTAAAAGTACTTTTCGAACTCAAAATATGAAGATACTATGAATGAACCGAGGTACAGCTCAGCTCACATCTACCGTTACTAGACTTATTTACATGGCACTGCCGGAGCTGTTGTGACCTAAGCGACGGAGAATTGTAGCAGTTTGCACGAAATTTGTCCGGCGATCACTTACAACCAACAGCAGTGGGGCTTCATTTCATGGTGTGGAAAGCAACTGGTGGTGCTTTCCAGTCGCCCTTTGCATATTATCCCAGTTACAAACATGATGCTTCTGCATTTTACCTGGTGTCGTACGATAGGTTGATACGGTTCATCTGATCAACTGAAGAATACATAAATATCCTAGTCCGTAGAATGGCCAATGATTTGTCTCGGCCATCCTGCTACATGATCGCAACGTCACGGCATGAGTATGGCACAGTTACGTCTGACCAATAGGCAGCCAGTGACTGTATGTCTGAACAACATTTAGATACAGATAAATTTACACACTCTTGTATTCTAAAGGCAGTGTCAGTCACACAAACCGTGGACGATATAATCCAGAGTGTTTACGATGCTATTCTAGCTAAGTGCACAATGTGCAGGTTAATGTCAAGCACCGACATGGCTTGTGTCTGGATAATTTTACTGCTAACGATAGCAATTGCCAGACTACCGAAACAAGTCCATCGAACTCCACTTAATGGATCATGGGAAATTCGAAGCAGTAAACAAGACATTTCCATCGAAGTGATATCCGGAGCCGATATGTTTTCAGCGCTATGGACTAAAGGCATTATAAGCGATCCGTTATCTGGTAAACAAGACAGCCAATATCGGTCACATGCATGGGAAGATTGGACATTTCAACACATATTCCGAACAGCCCCTAAACGAACCCAAAATGAGGTCACTGAATTATGCTGGGATGGTATCGACACATTCTGTGATGTGGCTTTGAATGGCATCATACTCGGTACTGGAAACAATAGCTTTTTGTATGTATGTTGGGATGTCAGTCAGTATATTCGTCCTGATGCTGAGAACGAGTTGAAACTTGTGTGCCAATCCACCCTTCGGACAGCAAATCGGACAGCGATGGAGAGAAAAAAGCGAGGACAGCCCACAGCTCCTCCAGAATGCTGGCGCGATGAACAGCATGGCGAATGCAACATCAATCTCGTACGTACCACACAGGCATCAACAAGTTGGGATTGGGGTCCAGCATTTCCGATTCAAGGGTTCTGGCATCCACCGTGTTTGATCACGTCACCTTCGAATATTCGACTGGGGGAGGGGTTTAAATTCTACAGCTTTGTCAATAAAGACACATTTGCTCAACGTTGGAGCGCTTATGCCAGTGTTGAAGTGCTTCGTCCATCAGATCGTGGAGTGCTGAAGGGAAGTGAGACACTGTGCATCATCTTCATGCTTGATTCATGGTCACCCCCGAATGGAAAAACTTGCTTTGCAATGGCCCGGAACGTCACGCAGAAAGACGTCAGGGTATCAATTTTGACAAACAGTGACGGAATAGAACCTTGGTGGCCAAATGGAATGTTTTCGGGCCCACGAACGTATGACCTAAGTTTGACACTATCTAGCGAAGACGATTTCGTATTGGACCAGGCGCAATATTTGGTGGGGTTTCGTGAAGTGCAACTGGTTGAAGTAAGTACAACTTTAGAAGGCGGAGCGAGTTTCGTCTTCTTTCATTTCTGCTTGTGACTGAAGCAATCACCATAATGGTCGTCAAAGTATCAGTTAACTGAGATGCTGGAGATGGTGCACCGTGAATCCTTAGCAAAATTCATCGTGCTAAATAAAACCTCAGGGGTTAAACACTGACTGCTCATCTGACAAGAACTTCCCATTCGATCCTATCCATTAGTCTATCATTGACGTTTCCGCCCTAAACCAAATCGTAAATTTAGTGTACCTGCTTGGTTTAAGTTACCTCACAGGTGTTGTCACATTTAGGGCACGGCATCTGACCAGGTTAACTAAATGGTATTGGACTAAAGCCGTTGTGTTGCCGAATTCATCACCCAAAATTCCACATTGAATGGGAGCACTTCCAATCAGGAATGCGTGGGACAAATTAGAGGATGCACACTGTTAGCTGGTAAGTGGACACACCACAATCACCCACTATATGTCCCAATTACAGTATGTTGTAATTGGCGTAGACTACAACATTTTCAGCTCAGCTAACTTGGGGACGATAAATTGGAGCGGAACGAACGGTAACTCGATGGAAACTTTGCTTATGCACAAGAATTCCTTTAGCTTTGGTAGAAGTGATCCATGCCCCAACTTTTACACAGGTATTTGTATATGCTAGTTGCTTTAGTCATATTTTAAGTTAAGAGTTTGGGTAATTGCACTGATTCTCATCTGCTTAAGTAGTCCAGTAGTGCCGCCTCTTTATCCATCCATGTGCTCTTTCATAAGACACATAAAGCAGCCATTCTTTCGCTATTTGGTGACCGGAAAACTGCGAACACTGTGAATTTAGCAACAAAACTGCAGTTGCGATGTCCCAATTTGTGAGCACACAGATAGTATGATGCTGGAAGCCACTCCCAACAACTGACCTCAGCAACCAGAGCTCTCTACAGTGGCACATCCTTGTCATAATTGTAACTTGACATGTATGATCTTTGCATCGGAAACTTGACGATCGGGACTTAGTGGGGTTGCCCTACACAATTAGTTATTCATGAGTCATACGGTCACACCTAGTTATCGCAAAGTATAGCTGGAGAATCTCATGCGACTATTTTCCTCCAAAAACTAAGAGAGCGCGAACAACGAACATTTTGCAGCGTAACCTGAATTCAGTTTAGTTCATACAACCTTAATCAATTGAACTTACTGTAACACTTCAGCGATTGCGGAACTAACGCGCAGTAGCCGAGGTATCATAAAGCAAAACACGCCAGGGACATGGAAGGCGAAACTGTATTCTAACCGGTATGTTGAACAACGCATTGATCCACTATTCTAAATTAGGCCAATCGATGAGTAAACGTGAGGGTTATGACGCACGCCAGCGGATGCAGGCAACGAATAGAAAGGGCGCAATACATTGGTCGTGAGGATACCGCCTTCATTCTCCATTTAGTTTGAACCACTCCAGCAAGCTTGGTTTCGGTCGACGGGTCGGCGTAGTCTTGTTGAACGGCGACATTACTGAGCCTTCGGTTGGCCAGGGTTTTGAGTGTGCTGCGCGTGTGTCAACTCAGTTTGCTGGTTTGAGGACGCCTCATCTGGCGGAGTTGAAACGGAACGATAACGCACGTGCTTCTTATTCCGAGTAACTACTCTGCCATCAGGTAAAGTCACCTCCGTGTGTTGTCCCGCAACTTCGTGCAACTCTCCAAGCTGCCAGGTCGCTTCGTTAGGTAACTTAACATAGAGCGCTTCATGCTTGCGAAATCTTCGATGGGAAGCCCTCTGGACGTACTCTGTTTTAGAGTTATCTTACTTAGTCTCAACACGCAGCCTCTGGTCAGAAAACAGTGTATCCCGCCGTGTCCACAACCTCCGTCCGAACATCAACTCGCCTGGGCTCTTCCCAGTAGTTTCGTTTGGCGTGGTATGGTAGCCAAAAATAGAGTTGTCCTTGTTCGCAGTGGAGCAAAGACTTGTTTCCGTAACCCGCTCTTGACCGTCTGGACGACTCTTTCAGCCAAACCCTTTTAAGCTGAGTGATTTGACACACGTAGCAGCTTCGGATCAACTCGTTGATTTCTCTGCCGACATTAGGCCAGCACACGTATGATCGCGCACGTGCTTTCATTCTCGTGATTCCTAGGCGCGTTTCGTGAAGTTCTTGTAGGACATTCTTTCGCCACCGTGGTGGTTCGAGCAGCCTAGATCCTCATAGCAAACTCCCATCCTCGAGACTGAGCTCTGTGCATCAAATAAAGTAGGACAGTAGTTGCGGTTCACAGCTGTCAGACCAAGCTTGAGAGACTAATCGCCTTAATTTGGTCAGCAGTTTATCCCGTTCAGTTTTCTGATATATATCTGCATTTGACACCGGAATTTTTGCCCAAATGTTGCAGCAGACGGATAAGCTCCACAGGTTTAAGTACACAATCTGGTAGATGATTCAATGGGAAACGGCTCAGTGTCCGCCATTCTATTTGCTTTCCCAGGGATATAGGCGATCCAGTAACTGCAAGCGGGAGCAATAAAGCGTAATGTTGCAAACGAAGTGACGCCATCTGGTTTATGCTTTTTTCTCACCAGTCAAGGTCAACAAAGGCCTGTGGTCAGCAAAGCTTTTAAATTTGCTTCCCCACAGATACCGGTGGAATTTCTCAACTTCAAAGATAACCGCTAAAAATTCCCTGTCGAGCTGCGTACAGTTCTTTCCTGCTGGTGCCAATTTTCGGTAAGCCCAGCCCTGTGGTTGACGCATCGCAACACAGAGTGATAGGCTGTTTTGGGTCAAAATGCACCAACAAGTTAGGGTTATTAATAGTTAGTCTGACAGCATCGTAAACATTTTGTCCATTGGACCACAGCCACCTGGCATTCATTCGAAGTAATGTATAGAATAATAAGGGAAGAGTAGACAAATAGGGTAAGAAATGACTGTACTGGGTTAATATCCCAAGAAATAATTACAGTTAGTTAATATTTCGGGGTGCTGGAGAACCCAGAATGGGTTGAAATTTTACCCTAGGCAATGTAACCCGTGTTTAT